TGTATAACAAAAAGGAGTTTAATTTGCAACCTGTTGGCGGATTTTGGATTAGCTTGGAGAACAGAGAAACGTAAAAATCTTGTCAGATACGTTATTCTACAATATATGTAACTTATTCGGAAAAATTACTGCATTTTAAGAACTTTCAAAATATTTCACATTAATATAATTCAAATGAATATGATAAAACTTTTTCAGTGTATTTGACATTATTATGCATATGCTAGATAGAATGATAATATTAAGTTTTTTGTAATGCGAAATGAAAAAATTAAATGTTACAACTTGCTTATTCTTGAGTCTACTCGATCGTGCTTATCGTTTCAATAGCTTATTTAACTTCCATAGTTAGTTAACTTTATTTAGAAAAGCATGTCTTAATGCTTTATAAGATTGAATATATTTATCACGCAATCGTCTATTAAACTTTTTTATTAGTATAGATTACATTTACTAGTTTATATTTCCTTATAATCTATTATATCCTGGATTATATATATCATCGCAAATAATTTTTCTTAAAATACTTTATTATATTATAAAATTTTTTTATATTATTGTTGGACACTTAAAAAAATTTTAATATCAAAATATGATAATTAAAAAATTATTTTATGTGTATTTTGTTTTATTTGATGTGTATCACAATTTTATGATATAACTACTTTCTTTGAAATAGTTTGGCGCTTAAGAAATAAAGTAAGAAAATAGATTCTTTCATTTTATATATTGTTGCTGTTGTTTTGTTATTTCTTGTAATTGTCTCAGATATTAAATCTACAATGTCAGTAGCGTACGATGCATATCTAATAACATTACATATCAATAATTATTTTTGTATTGAAGACGTCATCAATTTTTATTGAAACGTAAACATATTTTTTTAAAATTAAATTAATGAAGATTGAATTTTGATAAAAGCCAAATAATATTTAAAAATATCGTTGTACAGCGACTAATATATCTCGTGTATCTATAACTGATACGACATCATCGTGATAATACTGGAGAAGCGTACGTTTCTCCCCTTCCATCATACTTTTTCACGATTAAATGCGCACGCGCTTCACATGTATATTTATAACACAGTGTTCTACGCAGTGTTCAATGAAGCATCTCATCTGTAATTTTGTTACATCACGATGGATTCGTCATTACTTCCGTCGCCCTTTGTGCTATTGTTGAGTACTTTGATCGTCATTGGCGTTTTGAAAATTACCGCTCTGCTGCACCGCATATTTTTTCACTGGAAAAATAAGGGGCTTCCTTATCTGCCAAATTCTCTATCATCTCTTGTAATAACATGCAAATTGTTTTTGCGGTACATTACTCTCACCGATTATTACCAATATGTGTATGACTACTTCCCAGATGCTAAATATATCGGAATGTTGGATTTTTTTGGAACGCATGCCGTGCTTTTGCGTGATCCCGAGCTGATTAAAGAAATCATGGTGAAAGATTTTGAACATTTTCCGGATCATCGCAAATTCGTTGACGAAAGCATAGAACCGATGTTTGCCAAGAACATCTTTTTCTTGCGCGGAGATCGTTGGAAAGAAGTAAGGAATACACTAAGCCCCTCCTTCACAGCCAGCAAAATGAAGTTTATGTTCGATTTGCTATTGAAATGTTCTCACGATTTTGTCAACTATTTGGTCGATCATCCGGCACTCTGTCATGCTATCGAAACGAAGGAGGCCTTTAGACGATACACCGCCGACGTAATTGCCACAGCAGCCTTTGGCATAAGTGTTAATTCGATGAAAGATCGAGACAATGAATTTTATAGAAGAGGAGTGGAAAGTACCACAATTCCTATAGGATTGTTAACGGTGATCAAATTCTTGTTTATGAGCATGTGTCCCCGACTTGCTGCATCCATTGGACTGACTTTTTTGCCGTCGACTACGTCCAAATTTTTCAAGAAGGTCGTGGAGGAAACAATTAAAGCGCGGAAAGAGCAAGATATCGTGAGACCGGATATGATTCATTTGCTGATGCAGTGTCGGGATAAAGAAAATGACAGTGCACACAAAATAACATTGGACGAGATCGTTTCGCAAGCTTTTATATTTTTCGTAGCGGGCTTCGACTCCTCTTCGACCCTGATGTGTTTCCTTGCCCACGAATTGGCGGTGAATCGAGATATTCAGGATCGTCTGCGCGAAGAAATACAGCAGCATCTTGCCGAAGGAAACGATGAGATTTCTTACGAGTCGCTGTCGAAGATGTCTTACATGGACATGGTGATTTCCGAGGCTCTCAGAAAATATCCACCGACGTTCGTCCTCGATAGACTTTGCGCTAAGAGATACGAACTGCCGCCGTCGCAACCAGGCCGCAAGAGTGTAATCGTCGAACCTGGCGATATATTGTTATTTCCCGTTCATGCTATACATCGCGATCCGAAGTACTTTCCGAATCCGGATAAGTTCGATCCCGAAAGATTTAGCGAG